AATCTCCCAAAACGACAGGTTGCGGAATGTGTCACTTTATGACGTAATAGTGTGGCTAAACCCCGCCTCCGCAGGAGAAGATCAATGCCTGCTTCTACATCACTGCCTGTTTACCCCCGCCCACTGATTCAACAGCACTGCCTGTTTAGCCCCACCCACCGATTCTACATCACTGCCTGTTTAGCCCCGCCCACCGATTCCACAGCGCTGCCTGTTTAGCCCCGCCCACCGATTCTACATCACTGCCTGTTTAGCCCCACCCACCGATTCTACATCACTGCCTGTTTAGCCCCGCCCACCGATTCTACAGCACTGCCTGTTTAGCCCCACCCACCGATTCTACATCACTGCCGGTTTAACCCCGCCCACTGATTCAACAGCACTGCCTGCTTAGCCCCACCTACCGATTCTACATCACTGCCTGTTTAGCCACACCCACCGACTCTACATCACTGCCTGTTTAGCCCCCCCCACCGATTCTACATCACTGCCTGTTTAGCCCCACCCACCGATTCTACATCATTGCCTGTTTAGCCCCACCCACCGATCAGATCAGAGGCAGGTCTACGCAGAAACCAAACGATAAAGATGGCTCTGATGACGCTGTTCAGTGCCAAGCTGTGGAAAAACAGTCTTTACTTTGCCTTCCTTCTGATCCCAACGTTAGGAAAAAGTGAATGAACTTTATTTTTAATAAAGATCCAGACCACATCCGTAAGAACTCAGTCCTTTGTTCGCTTCATTTTACCGCGGATTCGTTTACGAACAAGGCACAATTCGACGCGGGATTTTCAGAAAGATTGAGTCTACGATCCTCCACGCCTATTCAAACAGAGCGTTCTGATGAGAGGGTTAAAAACAGGACAGAAAATAGACTATTACTTCTGTATTTGAGGTTTTTTGATGTAAAAATCTTGATAACATTATAAGTGGATCTCCGAGAACAGTACAAAATAAAAAACAAAGGCAGTTCATGACCCCTTTAAGAGTGTTTGTCTGATATAACACACTGTCTGTGTGTGTGTGTGTGTGTGTGTGTGTGTGTTTTACAGTAATAACACGCTCTGGAGTTCACTGGAAGAGCCTGATATCATAAACACACGAGAGTTTGAGGATCTGTTCTCCAAAGCCATCGTCCAGCCCAAGAAGAAGCCGCTGTCAGACACGTACGAGAAGAAGAGCAAAGCCAAGAAGGTACGAGAAATCATCAGCTCTGAGTCTGAGTTTACCTGAATAATAATTTAAATCTGAAGTGTCTGTGTTTCTGTGACTGGCTCCTATGGGCTCACAGAGCGTTAGTCAGGAATAGATTGAGCTTTACAGTTTTTATCAGCTGCTTACACACAAAAGCTTTACTTGTGACACAGTTTCTGAAGCTGCACTCAAACAGCAGAAGCACACACCAAATCTGCAAAACCACACACTAATTCTGTCTTTGACTCAGTTTTCAATTTCATAAAACACTTTTTGCAAAACACAACACACAATTCTCTATGAAACACACACAAATCTAACAGGAAGTATCTTGATCAAGAACTTTCTTCTTCAAATTATGGCATTATGGCAAAGGTGTTTGCAACGTAAAACAAATGTTTGCTTTTGAGATGTGTTTGTTATATATTGAATGCAGTGCTTCATTTTGCAAGAGATGTGAGGCATTTTGCATTTTGTGTGTGCCATTCTTGGATCTGTGAGGCAAAGTCACATGTTTTTTCCACTAGAGGGGGTTTCAGTCACATTCTCAATGTTCATTTGACATCTGAGTTTGTTGAATCCTCCATTAACAGCGGTTATGGTGCTCATTGCTCTTTGAGGAACTTATGCTTAGTGCTTGCATATAATAAGCTCGTTTGAGCCATTGTTCCCATCGTTCCCTCTGTGCTCCAGTGTTTAGTGTGGTTTTGATCAGACGTACAGGTTTGACCGTCTGCTGTGATTCCAGATCAGCAAAGATCAGCTCATCTGAGGTTTAAAAGACAATATGTGACCCTGGACAACAAAACCAGTCATAATTTTTAACATCAATATAAATAAATAAGCTTCCATTGATGTATGGTTTGTTAGGATCGGACAATATTTGGCTGAGATACAACTATTAGAAAATCTGGAATCTGAGGGTGCAAAAAAAATCTAAATATTGAGAAAATCATCTTTAAAGTTTTCCAAATGAAGTCCTTAGCAAAGCATATTACTAATAAAAAAGTAAGTTGTGATATATTTATGGTAGGAAATTTACTAAATATCTTCATGGAACATGATCTTTACTTAATGATTTTTGGCATAAAAGAAAAAGCGATAATTTTGACCCATACAATATATATACCCATTACAGATATACCCATGCTACTTATGACTGGTTTTGTGGTCCAGGGTCACACACACACACACACATATATATATATATATATATACACACACACACACACTCACACACACACACACACACACACACACTCTCACACACTCATACATACTGTCACGGGACGACCAAACGACAGACACAGTGGGGGTGGCGTCAGGCCTCGGAGAGGCTTTTATTAACAAAATAATATAACAACATGTCCAGAAAAGGGAATAAAATGTCCAAAATAAAACAGGGGATCTGGTGTCCTCGTCTGCGGGGTTCGTGCAGGGAAGGGCAGTGGTCAGGAAGGAAGGGTCCAGTCAGCGGCTTCTTCCAGCTGCTGCATCCTTCTCGCCTTGGCCCACGGTGCTTGAAGGGACTAGATGGCCCGGCCTCCTGGCCCGACAGCCGTGTAACGGGTGCGGTTCTCGTCCGGACCGCGGGTCCGGTAACTCACGACTCTGGTGGCACGGGAGTCCCTCTATGCACCCTTCCTGGACCCACAAGGAGACCAGCGTGCATGCACGGGGAAGAGACCGGTCTCCCGAGGAGAGGCGTGCTCAGCATTTAAACAGAATTCGGTTCAGGTGTGCCCCATCACACGCCTCCATCCCTGGCTATTTCAGCGCCCCTCCTCTCTCACGCACCCACTCCCGTCGGGAGCCTGGCGAAGGGCGGCGATTAAGGGACGGGGTGATGCTGATAATTAGCAGGAGGCAGCCGACTCGTCACAATACACACACACACACACTCACGCTCTCTCACACACACACACACACACTCATACACACACACACACACACACAC